CTTTAGTCTTGTTCAGCTATTGAATGTTGAATCATCTTCCACCTGCCCTAAAATATTTTTAAATTAACTTTTTGATATTTATAGCCTCTCAACTCTGTAATAATTAGGCCTGGCATAAGTTCTCCCAATACTTTTAGTTTATAAGACGTCGGAAGGACCTCCTCCACAAAAGGAGGTTGGTAACATCTTGGTTGAAAGACTATTTCCAGGCTGAACGACCTACTTATTTGACTAATTTTCCCTCCCCCCATTTCTTCTTAAGTGTCTCAATGGCCAACTAACTATACTGCCACAGGATGAAGCCAATTTATACTCACTAAACAAGGTTCCATCCTTGCTCCAATCCTTTTCCAAACGACATTGGCCAGCTGTCTTCCCGCCTGCGTCTGTGGCAGTAGTGGAGAAACGCCTTAAAATGCTCCGTAAATCAACAGCCATCGGACCGAACGCTGTCCTGTCATTCCTTCTTAAGTCCTGTTCTGCTCAGATAACATATGGTTAATTTGTGAACTTGGCGCGATTTTACCAGCATGTAGACCGATCAGAAGGCTCTTTTGAGTATTTGAGATGATGTGGGTCAGCTTCGGTGGAATAACCGTCAGTTAGCCGTCGGCAGGCTAAATGTACGCACTGAACAATACCGGCCTGCATTTAAAGCCAGGCTCAGTAGAATGTCAGCCAGTCAGTACATTTGAAGTAAACGTCAGAAGCCCTGAAAACTCCGTTTAAACGGTACAGATGTGACTAGAAATAGTGGAGTTGCAAAAATTATGCATGCAGTTCTAGTGTGCAGAATGAATAAATCTAATAGTGGAACATAAATATAAAAAAGTTATGGCATTTGTGAAATAATTGCGGAAAAATTGTTCATTGCGTTTGCGCTGTTAGCGTTTTTATGTGAGTCAAGTTTAAAGCGCAAAAAGGATCTGTTGAAATAATGTTGTTAATAGTCACTTCAAAAATCCGCTGGATCGGGCTTTGGCAGTTCGCGTCGCCTTTTAGCAGGTGCTGTATCTTAAACACACCCACGGTAGGTGAATCAACAAAATATGTACGTCGGCTAAGAATTCTACTGGCGAATGATTATCTGTAAGAAAAAAGGAGGAACGTAGATTTGAGTGGCACAGTTCTTTTTTAAGCTGGTAATCATTTCGTCTGAGATTATTCTTTAGAGAGATATGCACATGCGCTGTCGACAACCGGGAAGGCCGCTCTGGCGTTCTGTCGAATCAGTTTAGTTTATTTACAAGCTACATTGGTAAATGGAGATACATGACGTTTTATGAACGGCCATTTCACGGTATTTAAAAAATCTCACAATCAGAAAATTTTTGAAAACCAAATTTTACCCGTTCTTTGAATATAAAATTAAAAGAAGACGTAATTTGCTGACGAATAAATATAAGAAAGAATATTTCTACGCGTTGTTTCATGAACTAGAATGGAACTTTTAAGGGCATCGAAACTCAATGAGAAAATTGCGTGCTACTTAAGTAATCATTTTTTAGAACATAGTTCTTGCATGCAGTCGGGAATAAGTTCATTCAAAAGCCCACACCCTGAGATAACCGGATAATTATAGAATTATGCTGCAAAATGATTAGTTTTACAACCCTACTTAATTAATCTTTTCAAAACGAGAACGCATTTTGAAATTTCGGTTGACATTTCATTAGTTAGTCCACCTACTGTATATGTTATCGAATACGACAATACATCGCCCTCCACCCTTGCTGTTTCCGCAAACTTTCGTCCAATCTTCATTGGTAACATTACATGGACCCGCTTTTGCCATTGAAAGAATACAACAAAACTGACGGATTATATTCTCAGAGGAATATGAGTGAGTGATGATAGAGATTCGTGAATAATTACTGTTTCGTTCCTTTATTGTTCCCAAATGATTGTCTGCCGCATTTAATCCTGGAAAGCGTATGGTATACAGCCGAACATCGTCGTCGTTGTAACACCTACCTACTTAATTTATTTAGGCAGGTATATTTTGTTAAATGTAGTAATACTCTAACAACTATATTAATGCCTCTGTTTAGAATTATTTATGGATAAAGGATTGAAGGTTACGTTTGGAGGTTTGAGGTTAGGTTTGTAGTTTAATGCTAGTACTGGGGTGCAATTTTGGGGTTAGTTTTTAAGGTTAGGGTAATTTAAATCTTTAAGGTTACGGTTTAGTGTCAGGTACTTAGATAGGTAAGTTCCGTCAAGTGTAGTGCTGCCTCAGTTTGGAGTAAACTATTTACGGATTTAATGTTAGGGTTAGAATTTATGGTGAGGGTCCCAGGGTTAGGGTAAGGGTTAGGGTTATTGTTCGACGTTGAGATGTAGGTTTCGGGCCAAGGCCTAAGTTTAGCGTTAGGCGAAAAAGTTAGGGTCAAATTTGAAGATTAGCGTTAGGGATTAAGCTTAGGATTTACGTTCAGGTCAGGGTTATGGATTAAACATAATGTTAAGATCCACGGTTAGGGTCACGGTTTAAGGTTAGGGTTTTGAGGCTAGGGTAAATGTTACGGTATAAATCAAGGATTGTGGTCAGGGTTAAAGGTCAGGATTAGTGCTTTCTGTTGAGGCTAGGTCGTGTTTTTAGGGTTAAGACTTAAGTTTAAGATTAGGTTTTTAATTTAGAGTAAGGGTTCAGTTTTTGGTTATAAGCTTAGGTTTACTCTTTCGGGTCTGGGTTTTTAAGACTATGGTTAGTTATCATGCTGGGGTTAGAGTTAGGGTTACGATTGCTTTTTAAATTCAGTGTTAATATCAAACGCTAAGATTGCAGTTTGGGTTAAAGGTCAGAGCTAAGGTTTGCATGCCGCGGAAGGATAGTGTTTTTCCCCATCAGTCCTTGGTATAGGGTCGCAATAACAATTTTCACGTCTCCAGCTTGAAATGTATGATAGAGGATAAATTATCACGTGGGATTAGGTCTGCTTGTTAGGTGTCTCTTCAGAATTTCGATGTTGTGTCATGCGTATTCCTAACGCCATTCAGACCGCACACCTCGCTGATGCACATCGTGATGGCATACAGTCGTAAAACTATTGTATAGCCCAGAAGGTATGTTTTGTCTTAATGTAAACCCGTATACCGTGACCTCCTCAGTACCTACCAGAGATGGGATCCACAAAAAACCAACAGACAGTGCTCGCATTTATGATCACAACACTGACACAATCTAGTGAAGTAGCTGCGCGGTCATTCGGGGCGACCAAATTCAATTTGCTAGCAACTTTGTGACAAGGTTGTTTTGTAGCTGTTTGTTAATACTTTTTCTCTCGTGAGTTTGCCACACTATGCGTTCTGGGTTTATGTGAACATGATGTGGTCGGTTATCGTATTTCTTAATATTTTGTATCGCTAATTAAGGTCTTTCTTAGTGATTTTTAGCCCACCCCCGAAAAATTCCTATTTCCACCGCCCCCCATAGACAAGGTGTCATTTAGTCCTAATTTTTGGCTTTACGTATGCTTTACTCTTACCCAAGTCGTGCTAAAGTAGCCCTAAATAAATGTGCATCCAGACGCCTAAAGCGAGCGCATAGGGCTTAAGTAAACAAACATTGCGGTCAGTGACTGATCTCATGATATGCTGTCCGAAATTCTGAAGTGCGTTTTTAATTAGGATGGCTCACTTAAGTGTGACTGAAAGGCTGATTGTCTTTTGACGTAATCCCGCAATATTTCAGACAGGTCTGGGCGTCGATTTTTGAATGCATACCTTCCAAGCCATCTGTAGCAACCGCATCTTGTAAAAATACATGCTACCTAGGTGTCATTAAATTTCCGTTTGGGATTTTCTGTCAGCAAGCATCCCAGTGCTAACATCTTGGTGTTCCTGAAATACCTCCGTCAGGAAGGAAAAAAAGCTAAAATGCTTGTATTCCAATGCGCAAAGTCTGCTATCTAAATTAGATGAACTTAAAATCTACGTTGACCAAACCTTACCCGATGTTATATCCATAACTGAAACGTGGCTGTCCGCGAGCGTAGACGATCGCGAAGTCGCTTTATCTGGTTATCACTTGTTCAGAAAGGACAGGTTGGGACGTCAAGGTGGAGGTGTGCTCGTGTATGTCAAATATGGCCTTTTTGCGTCAGAAAAAGAGGGACAGCTCGCGCGCACAACTGAAACGATTTGGCTCACCGTCAAAACGCCGGGGTCACAACCTCTCGAGATCCTGACGGTCTACCGCCCACCGAGGAACGACCCGCAATCAGAAATTAGTCTACTAGAGGAATTAGAAGCGATTTCGCTCCGACCCAATGTCATGATTATGGGCGACTTTAACGCTCCGAATATCGACTGGAATCTGTCTTCTGACCCGGGCTCAGAATTTAACTTTGATCGCCGCCTCCTAAAATCTGTGCAAAGATCGCATCTAACACAACACGTCTTATCCCCAACCAGAGTACGTGAAGGACAACTAGCTAACTGCCTAGACCTTGTATTGACAAAGGCAACGGAAAGCATTGATGTTGTAAACTGTCTACCCCCTCTCGGAAAAAGCGACCATGTAGTCCTACAGTGGGAGTATTCTCTCTTCTCTGTACCCGATCAAAGCATCGCGATTAGACGCAACATATGGCGTGGTGACTTCAACCAAATGCGTCTCGACATGCGTCGTAGAGACTGGAAAGCAGCATTTACGGGGTGTGTCCTCAAGGACTGGCTAGAACTTAAGGCCATACTGAATGAACTTATCACCAGATACTGCCCTATGTCGAAAAAAGAAAATCACCAGCAGGCCCCGATGGCTTAAGGGTTCACTAAAAGTTGAAGTAAACCGTAAGCAAAAGCTGTGGAAAGCATATCTTAGGGACAAGACAACTGAATCAAGAAATAGGTATAAGGCTCAGCGGAATAGGGTAAAGTGCCTTGTTTACAATGCCCGCCAAGACTTCGAGGGTAACCTTTTAAACTGTGCGGGAGAAAACCCAAAGCTTTTCTTCAACTACATAAGACAAAGTACTCGCAACAGGGATCCCATCCCTATGCTAAAAACAGATGATGGCGTTGAACTTTACAAGGACGACGAAAAGGCTGAGCATCTGTCCAGGTTCTTTCAGTCGGTCTTTACGAGAGAAGTCGCTGTACCCACTGATCACTGTAATGTGGACAATTTCCCGACAATTGACTCAGTGGTTCTCACAAAACCTATTGTTCAACAGGAATTACTGAAGCTAAAAGAAGGGACTTCGCCCGGTCCTGACGAAATACCGGCAAAGCTGTTGAAGGAATTAGCCACAGAATTGGCAGAACCTCTGAGCGTCCTCTTCCAAGCCTCTCTTGATGCAGGCAGACTGCCTCCTGAGTGGAAGACTGCGTGGATTTCACCGATTCATAAAAATGGCAGTCGCGTTTCCGCAAACAACTACCGACCAGTAAGCCTCACCTCCATATGCTGCAAACTTATGGAGCGAATAATCAAACGCGAACTGATGCGGTTTTTAGAGCAAAATCATCTTCTGTGCGATGCACAGCACGGTTTCCGCAGAGGGAGGTCCTGCTTAACCAATCTACTCTACTGTCTTGAACAGTGGACCCGAGCGATTGATGAAGGAAACGTTGTGCATGTGGCCTACATAGACTTCAAGAAGGCCTTTGACAGCGTGCCACACCAACGTCTCCTACACAAGCTCAGCCGCATAGGGGTAAGAGGCAAGCTTTTGAAGTGGATTGAAAACTTTTTGGTCGGTCGGTCCCAGACTGTTCGTCTTGGTGGCCAGCACTCGGCAGAGGTGACGGTTACGAGCGGAGTACCTCAGGGCTCGGTTCTTGGCCCTATCCTCTTCCTCATCTATATTGATGACTGTATCCATGGATTGGACTGCAAGATTGCCATGTTTGCTGACGATATAAAGCTTTGGACCGTCATCCGCAACGAGGACGATGAAGTAAATTTACAGGCAAACTTAGACCGACTCGAAAAATGGTCAGGCCACTGGCTCCTCCCATTTAATGTTACCAAATGCAACATTCTGAGGATTGGCAGAACCAGCTCTGCGCACCGGCAGACGTATTATCTAAATCACACACCGCTGCCACTGGTGGAGGTTCAGAAAGACCTAGGGGTGTGGATAACATCTTCACTAAAGCCATCATTCCACTGCTTGAAAGCAGCGAAATCCGCAATGTCCAGCTTATATCTCATTAAGCGGGCATTTGCCAAGTTCGATGAAGAGTGCTTCCGCAAGGTCTTCGGTATGTTTGTGCGCACACAGTTAGAATTTGCCATACAGGCCTGGAGACCCTGGACTGTTAAGGATCGTACCACCCTCGAAAAAGTCCAACGACGGGCAACCAAGCTTGTCAGAGGTCATAAAAACCTACCTTACGAAACCAGACTTTCAAATCTTAACCTCTTTCCCCTGGACTACAGACAACTCCGTGGCGACTTAATTCAAACGTTTAGAATGTTACGGGGTCAGGACTGCTGCCTCGCATCCGGCGACTTCTTTGAGCTGGTCACCACTACTAGCTTGAGAGGACACCCTCTGAAACTACGTGTGACAGGAGCGAGACTGGACGCAAGGAGGTCCTTCTTCAGCCACAGAGTGGTAAAGGCATGGAACGCCCTACCTGTGGATGTCGTCATGTCCTCATCCGTGGACTCATTTAAGAGAAAGCTTGACCAGTACAGGGATATGTACCTCCACAGCATCAGAAACTAACGAATTCCACCTTGTGCCACCCGCCCCATCCAACGTTTTATGTTACAAAACATGCTACTCCCTATATTTTAGTAACATTACGTTTTACAATTTCCGCTATCTCCTGACCGCCACATATGCGCTTCCTTTGATATTACTTGGTCCATTCATTGCCGTAGTGGATATTGTACAATTTTGACATAGAAGGCATTCACAGACAAATTCATACCAGTGACCAATGCTTGTTGTATGTAATTACTTACCTAATTTTTTTCACACTTGCCTTACACATTGTTTTTTTATGACGTTATTGTAACCAAAAGGGAGTTCAAAGGCGCTCGCCAACTTTTCCCTTAATAAATCTGATCTGATCTGATTTACAGTAAATGTGCTTACTCATGAATTGTCAACCCAAATTTCGAAATGCTTTCTCCTTTCGAAAAGGTAAATTAAGTAGTGTTGTAAAACTAATCATAATGCAGCATAAATCTATAATGATGCAGTCATTTCAGGGTGTCGGCTTTCGAAATAACTTATGTTCAGCTGCATGCAAGATCTATACTCTGCAAAAAATGACTACTTATGTAGTATGCAATTTTCTCATTGATTTTCGATGCCCTTGAAAATTCAATTATATTTCATGGAAAAAATGCATAAAAATATTCATTCTTTTACTTGTTCGGTAGAAAATCACGTCTTCTTCCAATATCATACTCAAAAGAAGAGTATAATTCGGTTTAAAAAACTTTTCTAATTCCCGAATTATTTTGAACCCGACCTGCTTTCAGGGTTTCAAAACTACAAGCTGTATATTTTCCGTGTACGGAAAGCCATGCATTTCTCCACGATGTTAAGAGGAGATCATATGCAGTTCATAAAATTAAGCAGTGGATTTAAGCAGTATTGTTAACTTTACAAGCCACATTCGTAAATGCAGATACATGACGTTTCGTGAACGGCCATTTAACGGTATTAAAAAATCTCACAATTAGAAACTTTTTAAAACCGATTTATACTCTTCTTTTGAGTATGAAATTGGAAGAAGACGTAATTGTCTACCGAATGCGCAAAAGAATGAATTATTTTATGCATTTTGTCCATGAAATATAATTGAATTTTCAAGGACATCGAAAATCAATGAGAACATTGCATACTACATAAGTAGTCATTTTTTGCAGAGTATAGATCTTGCATGCAGCCGAACATAAATTATTTCAAAAGCCGACATCCTGAGGTAACTGGATCATTATAGATTTATGCTGCATCATGATTAGTTTTACAACACTACATAATTTATCTTTTCGAAACGAATACGCATTTCGAAATTTTGGTTGACATTTCATGATTTAGTGCACCTACTGTAAGTAATCATTCCCAATCTAACACGCATTTTAGAATTGTTGATAACATTTCATCAGATCGGTCACTGACTGTTTTTGTGCTCACCGTGGAGGTACCCAGCTGCCATGATTTTACACACTCTCAGTGAAAGCTTTTTAAAGGAGACAGAAATAAAAATCAACGTGGTTAGCGGCTTTGGCGGGACTTTAATGCAGGCAGTGCGTAAATCGGTAATTTATCACACTCGTTGCCGGCAGAACTGAGAAAGGTGCGAATTGCAAATCTGCTATCCCACATCAGTGCATCGCTAGAACAGAGGCAGGGGCGATGCCAGCCACTTTCATCTTCTCCAACACTAGTTGGCCTCGTAGTCCCGGTGAATTTGACAGAGCTTGCAGGGCATGCAGAAGGTGCTGACACAGCAGTCCTTTATGAGACTTCCCTATGTGTGTCGTGCAAAGAAAACAAAACGGGGATTAATTCAAGAAAACAAGAAAAATAACCAAATATGTAGATGAAATGAATCAGAACAAAAGCAGGTGTACCGACCGACGCTGTCTACTGTAACTTGCTATGGAGCGTGAGGTCGTCAACATGGCCCTCGCTAGGCGTCCCCTAACATGAACGGGATGGCCATATTGGAGCACGGCAGCAGTTAGTCGGGATGCGCAGAGACGGCGCAACACAAAAATATAAATGTTAACAAGTTTGTTTCTGGAAGAATTGAGATGCCACACATGGCTTGCTTACGGTTAAACGTCCTCGGTTGGGGATGTATGATGAACGCTGCAATCATCAGGTGGCATTTTAAATTAGCAGGCCAGGGCGTGTATTAAAAATGTACAGTCATGTTTGAGAGTGAGAGAAAATGAGAGACTTTGGCTTGATCCCCTTAAGTAGGTTTGTGGGAGTAAGCTGTTCGCTTACAGTATCTGAATCACCCCACAGGAGACAAGTACAATAGGTAGGCTAACTCATGAAATGTTGACCGAAATGCGTTTGCGTCACGAAAAGATTAATTAAGTTGGGTTGTAAAACCAATCCTCGTGCAACAGAATTCTATAATATGTTAGTTACCTCATGATGCCGGCTTTCGAATGAACTTCCCTCCGGCTGCATGCAAATCTATACTCTGTAAAAAATGACTACTTATGTAGCATGAATTTGTCTTATTGATTTTCGTTGCCCTTAAAAGTCCAATTATATTTCATGGAAAACATACATAAAAATATTTATTCTTTTATCCATTCGGTAGAAAATTATGTCTTCTTCTAATTTTATACCCGGAGGAGGGACATAATTCGGCGTTAAAAAGTTTATAATTGGGTGACTTTTAAATACCATGAAATGGCCCATAAGTCGTAATGTCTCTGCATCTACCAATATGGCTTGTAAACTTTACAATATGGATCATATCTACCGTTAAATTTTGTGCATCCTATATGATCCCCCTTTAGTACTGTAGAGAAATGTGTCCTTTTGCGTACGCGGAAAATATGCGGCCTGTAGTTTTGGAAACTCTGAATGCGGGTGTAATGGTAGAGCGGGTTCAAAGGTATTCGGGAATTGGGAAAGTTTTTGAAAACCAAATCACACCATACCTTCGAGTATAAAATTAGAAGACATAATTTTCTACCGAATGAGCAAAAGAATGAATATTCTCATGCATGTTTTCCATGAAGTATAATTGCAATTTTAGGGGCATCAAAAAATCAATGAGACAAATTCATGCTACATAAGTAGTCATTTTTTACAGAGTGTAGATTTGCATGCAGTCGGAGGAAAGTTCATTCAAAAGTCGGCATCATGGGGTAACTAAATTATTATAGAATTATGTTGCACGATGATTGGTTTTACAGCTCTGTTTAATTAATCTTTTCATGACGTAAACGCATTTCGGAATTTCGGTCAATATTTTATGAGTTAACCCACCTACTGTACGTCCCCCTGTCAGACTGTCAATACGTCCGTAAACGTCCTCAGAGAAGGTGAGTAATCACTAGGCCGTGGGACCTTGATCAAAGACGAGGGACTCCGCAATGATTGCTGTCAGCGCGTCTGGAATCGCTAGAGGGATGGGTAAATGACCTCAAGGCACCGAGGTTGTTGAACAAAGACTTCAGTCGTCACTTACAGACTAGTGGGATACTTTCAGTAACCTTTTTTGACCCCAGCTAGAACAGGTTCTGGTTCATTGCGTAAAACATGTCATTTTCGGAATGCCAATGCCATCTGTACTGCTAGTGAACTCCCACATCATGCTATTCCAAACACGTCGCGCTCACAGATTTCCTCGGACGTAAAACTGCAGCATTCGTCGCGCCAATGGCGTCTTCAGAGCAAACTCAACGTCCGAGAAAAGCAATCAACACGACAGGCGACGTAGGACTGAGCAAGCTGGGGATTATTTTCCCTCAAACCGGTCTGTAATTCTCCTGGAATGGTACCTATGATCGAAATGAAGTCCCGCACACCTCAAAAATGCCACCAGCATTGCCATGAGATAGGGGCTTCATTAATCCGTTTTCTACGAGCGTGTCTTCCAATGTCTTCGCACTGCAAATGGCGCATACGTAAACGATCAGTTTCTATCTGTGCATCGTTCCAATGACATTTGGTCAACGTGTAGGACCGACCTGATAGAATGTATGGGGGTGTGGAGCAGTGTATAAGACAATTAATAAAAAAATTCCCCCACTTCGTGCATGCGTGTTTTAAAAGAAACTGATAATTCCACTTGCGATGTAACCTATGTAGCCGTCAAAATAAAACGAATCGAGGGTTAATTTCAATCAAAGGAGTCTCCTTGGCAAGGGTTTGGTTTATGGCCGAGGTTGCTTACTTCAGGGAGCAATTGTGTTCAGCGAAAGAAACGAACATCTAGGAACTTTGTAGTGTCGCAAATTGTGGTCCTCCATATTGTCACCAATTAAAAGGGGAATCTGTTTTAGCCATTTAACAATAATAGTAAATAAATTTAATGTCCTTTTGCAGGCATCGTCAAAAGGATATTGTGCTGAGGTATTTTTACGTAAAGCATCTTGGCCATCCTCAAGCAACAGCCACCACGAGGTATTTTTATTTCTTTCCTTGACATGTACAAATAAATGGCACCAATTATTCTTTTTTAGCACAAATGCCACCTAGAGTAGTAAACCCCGGCCACAAACCATACTCCCACCGTCTCCCTATACGAGAGTCACGAAGAAACCGCCGAATTCTTCCTAAAAACTGCTGTTTTAAAGCAAATGCTTAATGTAACATTAATTTGACCGAATAAGCTTGAAAGAAACATACCTCGATATTTTGATTGCCTCGATGATGAGCAGTCAGAACGAGGACTGGATGTGGTATACACAGTGGGGCTCCGCAACACTCATCTTGCAACTTATATTCATAGCAGACCATGCAGGGGAAACAGAAGGCAGTCAGCACACCTAGAAAAAAAATTAAAATTGGGCCAGTATATGACTAAAAGTGGCGGGGTAGTATTCAACAAATTTTTGGTGAATCTCATATGTGTTGCTGACAGAAGCTTGAGGGCACCCTTTATTAGAATCGAGCAGAGCAAGAAGTCACAGGAAAAGATGTATCTCTGCCGAAATTCTCATTGTACACTGTCGTTTGGCAAAGATAGTAGGCGCAATAATTAAGAGATAAGCAAAAAGCAGTTTTCAAAAAATAATGGACTTTAAATAAAGCACCGCTGGGAAGTTTACATTTAGTCAGGAAGGTATTGGTCCGTGTGTGTCAGCTACCTGAGCTCTTTTCCGCCTCCGGTCTTCTTAACTGTGTCCTGACACTGGGCCTAGGCGGGCTAGGAGGGGAGGGTGAGGAAGATGCCTCGTAAGTCTCCTCCCACTAAAACCGAACAAATCGCAGTGCCTGCTCTCACCTTGTTGTGAAGCACGCGACGGACATCCTCAACCGCGACGGCCGAACTGTCATACTGTAGGTCATTAGCCTTGAAGATTGTCAAAATTATGATCGTTTTAATCAAGTTTTAGTGTACAACCAAACACCCCGTCCGTCGGCATAGACCAACGTTGCGAAAATCTCCCGCAAAGCTGAAACGTACTATGCTCATAAGTAGGAGAAATGAAGGCTCAGAAAATTAAAATAAGGCAAGCTGTTAAACTCGGCAAAAAGTGCTTACAATTTTTTACGTCGTTAGTGCAGTCACAAAGGCCGTCCTCCCAGTCACGCAAATCGGGTTGTTCAGTTACAGGCATTGGCAGGGCGAGAGACCTTAGGAAGTGGCTGCGAATCCGATAATGTCTGTCTCAGCTCAAACACGTCTCTCAACCCTATTTATGCCGCACAAACATATCCTCGACCCAGAACCTACCCATAGTCACCACAGGCCCGATTAGAAATTGTCAATTAGAGCCCTGTGAATTAGCGGCCTTTTTAAGGGCTAGGATGACTCAACTGTGGGATTTACTTTCTGGTCATTTTCTAGGCCGTTGTCTTGAAATGCAAGCCTATACGCGACCCAGGATGCACAATATAGAAGTCGCCATCAGCAAGGAAGGCAAACGTCAATCAGACCTCTGTGTCCTCTCCATCTTTGGCGAGCCAAAGATGACTCAACTGTGGGGTACAGATGAGCAAAGGCATCAGCAATAAGACAAGACTAAAAGAGCGAGAGTTGCCTGACTTTGCGAGAGGTAAATTGATCGGTAGTGTAAAGGATAGAAATATTAGCATGATCTCTCAGACAGAAGATGTTGATTGAGGAGGTTTTACAATGATATATGAAGGTTTTTTAACATTGGCTGCCCACGTTGCGTGTAGATCGATAGCATAGTAATACTTCCACGAAAGTCTAAACTGAGGAAAACGACGAATGCACATAGTCCATAATACGCCCGCCATTCTTATTTGAGATAACCGAAAACATGGGGGTTTTTTGCTCATACCTAGAAAAACAACTACTCTGATAAAAATATTGCCTAAAAGGCCAGAAAAATCATGGTTCCGATGTAGATTTGCACATCGGACATTTTGCCAGACTCCTAAGTCTGGACAAACCTGTGAACTTTTCGAGCTTTTCATGAATGAAACAAAAAGATTAAAAGAAGTTATTTCTGCAAGGTATCTTGTCTGATCTGAATTAGTATTTCTTTGAACACGAACTGATCAGCAATAATTTAAGCGGTTTTTATGTCGCTATGAAAGCTACGGTTTTTTCACTTTAAAATAGACGAATCCGTAAGAGCTTGATCAGTTTTCGCACATTTTAGCCAATCTAAAAACGATGATTTGACAGTTTTGAGTAAACCATTTGACCCAGTCGTGAGAAACATAATAACCTAGGTGGGATACGTATCAACGAAAGCAGAGGCACGTTCTAACCACACGAGCTACCGAGGTCGCCGAGTTTGTTACAGTCAGTCTAAGAAAATTATTCAAATCTGTTAAAGAGTACGATTCATTAAGTCAGGCTGGTAATTATCTAGTGGATCCTCGATTAACTGCTTAGGAAATCCTGCTTTGTCAGTCAGTTTACTGTATCCGAATTGGTGAATTCCGTACGTTGAAGTTGCGTGGACGGATAACTTGACCCAAATGTGATCGAGCTCGCGGTTTCCGGTGGGGCTTTTTAGCCCAGGCAGTTAGTGCGCTGGTTATAATCAAGCTTTGTCCTTGTTGCCCAAGTCTCCAATCTTATCAAGACCGTCGACTTTTCAACAAACGGATTAAACAAAGCTTAAAAGACAACGACAGACCGACAAGTAATGCCAGTAAATGCATTTTCTCAGCTTATGCAGACTAATTAACGGAACATTACTTGGATTAGCCTCGGATCCAAATATTTTCGATACTACGTTCGAAAAGCGAACAGAATGGGTACAATATAGTTCAGGTTTAGTTTTTAGACCTGCTAGGACTTAAAAGACATCTCCATAATTGGTCGCGTCTGATCTCAGCAAACACGGACTGCATTTAAGAGAGTTTTGGGGGATGGATCTTATCAAAAACACATGTCTTACGGGCTTCAGAAAACGCTCAATCGACTTGAGGTAGATTTACTGATTTTGTAAGATACCGATACTGCTCACAGTTTATCGGAAATCCCTCAAGGTTTTTACAGTAAAGTGAGCTTTCCGGAAATACAGGTTATGTGGATGGAATGCGTGGCAGCGGCAACCTCCCTATTGAACTCCCAGACCTTCCCCTAAGGGAGTGGCTACTTGAATTTAACACGCTTTTTGTTGTCGAACTATATTTTAAGACCATGGAATCACTTATTAGGACAATACTTAACATACTTTACTTTGCAATGAAATATGAGCAGAGCAACATTTTCTAAACATCCTGCGACGGTTAGTTTTCTCGCAGAAACAAATGTATCCCGAATAACCTCGAATCAAATAGCCGTATATTTGAACAACCTGTCATCAACTCTGTAAAAACCCTCTCGCTGGGGTTTGCCCAGTTTTGGCGTTATTTTTGGTAGATACATAGAAACGTAGATGAAAACCTGAATGCAATCCGATACAACAACTTTTTACAACGTCTTGTACTGATTTACGTTTTCAGGTAATAAAAAATGAGTGGTAAGAATTTTTAGGAGGCTCTTTTGAAGGAGCTCGTTTTGGCAAGCAATTATTTTGTAAGAAATAGCCCCAGGCAAGCTAGAGGGAGATCTGTGTGAGGGGAGTCTTTAAAGAAGCGTTCAGATCACCAAATTCATGCAAATGTCTTTCACAAACAAATGCCCTGTTTATTGACGTTTGTTTTTAAAGAGATAATACTTGAAGTATATGCCAGCGTAAAATTTGGAACAGCCGTTTTGTATAACGCCCCGCCTTCGGACTCAAGTTTCGCCCATGGCGTCCGTAGACTCATTTTCGTTGACTTAAAACACGGTTATCGTTCGCAATCCCGTCACATTTTTACTGAGAAAGCCGATAAGTCCAGAATAAATGCTTGTTCGGCATCTTCTCTTCCGAATTGGGCAATTGATATTTGTCAGCGCAAACATTCGGCACTTTCATCGACCTCTAATTGACAGAAACGATCAGCATTCTGATAGGCTCGTCGCCCCTTGATTGCACAGCACATCTAACTTGGAGGAATGTGTCTTCCTATCTGGAGCTTTTTCGTCCATTTAGGTTGCACGGGGGAGTGGCATGCTTAAGCACTCTGACCGTAAATGACCATGGTGACCGCACAAGTCTAAGCAACAAACTTTGGACATCTTTTCCCCCTTGACATAACATTAAAGGTATTCAACAGAAGTCCCCTAGCGCCAGACCTTTAATTTCCACAGAGACTAATGTGCGAACTTTAAAAACATTTCTCAAGGTAAAATCTTTTTCCACCTGATTTGAAATTTGATATAAATGTCTGGGCGGAAATAAATCGGCTTGGGCGCATTGTGCACGTAGTAATCACATTCCAACAATGGGCAGTCAGTAGTGTGTAAATATCGATTGATCCACCTGTGACTGGCGTATTTCAACTCAAATAAACAGATTATATTTTGGATAGGACCTAAGGAGTAATGTGTCCAGAATTAACCTTTAACTTATGCATTTATTTCAGGGGAAATTCGCAAGTACAGCAGGTAAGCTAACTCATGAAATGCCGACCGAAATTCCGAAATGCGTTTTCTTTTACAAAAGAAATATTAAGTACGGTTGAAAGACTAATCATCATACAGAATAATTCTAAAGACTTCAGTTGTCTCAAAATGTCGGCTTTCGAAAGAACTTCTTTCCAGCTGCATGGAAAAACCATACTCTGTGAAGAATGACCACTAGTAAAACATGCATCCTTTTCACTGATTTTCGATGCCTTTAAAAATTCAATTAAACTTAATGGAAAACATAAATAAAAATATTCATTCTGCTATTCATTCAGTAGGCAATTACGTCTTCTTCTGATTTTGTACTTTTTCAATTCTCTAATACTTTTGGACCTGACCTGCCGTTGCACTTGCATTCAGGTCTTCCGAACTACAAGCCACATATTTTCTGCTTTCGGAAAACCATACATTTCTCTACGGCATTACGAGGAGACTATATGGGGTTCATAAAATTTAGCAGTGAACTCGAGCTATCTCGTAACTTTTACAGGCCAAATCGATAAATGCAGAGACGTGACTTTTTTATGTACGGCCGTTTTAAGGTCTCACAGAATCTCACAATTAGATACTTCCTAAAACCGAACTAAACCCTTCCTTCGAGTATAAAATAGGCGCAGGATGTAATTTTTTATCGATTGAATAAAAAATGAATATTTTTTGCATGCTTTCTATGAAATATATGTATAGTTTTAAGGACACTGAAAATTAACGAGAAACATGCGTGCTTATTAAGTAATCTTTTTTAAGGAGTATATTTTTGACATTCATTTGGGAGGGCGTTCATTCGAATGCCGGCACTTTGAGGAAACTAAATTAATATAGAATTGTGCCTCAGAACAATTTACTTTAAAACCTCACTTAAGTTATTTTTTTGAAACAGAAGCGCATTTAGGAATTTCTGTTAACATTTCACGAGTGAGCCCACCTACTGCACCTAGCAGACAGCCGGCTGGGGACGCTAGGAGTCCCACTGACGTTTGCGCAATAACAGTAGACAACTGGAAACAAACTGTACCAGAATTATCCAATAAGAAAAATAATTTGGAGGGTTTACAACGTGATCTTCAGAAAGCTTTTTGCATTAAAAGCGGTTAATTTGTAGCTGCTAGATTAGTGCTGGTATCCTGACCACAAAAATCATTCAGCCAAATTCCGACTAACAGGTCAGGGTGGATGACATCAAACTAGGGGAGGTAATTGAGTTGCTGCCTCAACAGTCATTGGCTTGTACTGCCACTGTTACTTCGTGCTTTAGTGGGCAAAAAAGAGATATATTTTGTACGTCGGAGTTAGGTCGACACGGCACGCGTTTACTGGTGCCTGCTACGTATGGTGTGTTCCAGTAACTCAAGGACGACTGTGACTGTCAGGCTGGGGAGCTGAAGTTCGTCCCAATGACGGCTGTAGGTTTGCACGCTTGGGATGGGGTCTTGCCGACGACTTTTGTTACGATGTCTGACGAAGTGAATAAGAGTATTCATATCCATATAGAAAACCAGCGTGAACCTGCCTAATGACCTTCTTCTGGTGGCAAATTCCTGCACCTATAATTTTTGTTTAACAATATGATGACAGTTTTATTTGTGAGATTTTTGAGACCGTGAAATGGCCGTTCATAAAACGTCATGTATTTGC